TGGATGTCACCAGCGTGTCCTGGGACTTGGGCACAACCATCCCTGCAAAGGGGACATCGTGCCCTTTAAAACCAAGGCCCTGCAGGGTCCTCAGTCTGCCCCAGCCCTGGTAGTTGGAGTGGGGGAAGCCTGTGATCCCCCAGACCATGCTCACCAAAGGCCAGCAGAAAGTCACTGTAAGGAAAGAGCTGAGCATGTCGCACTGCTGTGTGCACTGTCTTTGCTGCTCAGGGATAGCCTTGGAAGGATTAGAGTTTTATCGGTCAAAGCTGGTAAACGTCGATTTCAGCACACCTGCAAAAACTGATCAAAATCAAAATGTGCAGAGAGGCAAAGTAGGGAAAACACTGCTTGAGAATGTGGTAGGTGTCATTGGAGGATATTGACTTGGTATATTTTGACATGTGATGTTGACAGTTTCTGTTTTAACGGTTATAAAGCTTTAATATTTGGAATCTCAGCATCTACTGTCATTAAATAATTATTATCTGATCCCCCAAATTTCCTGCAATATGAAAATTTAAATCAATAAAAATAATAAAAATGCTTTAAAATACCCCCTGATATTATCCATCAAAATTCTAAAAAAATAAAAATTGACTTCTGCCCATCTTCCTCCTGGCGAAGGCACTGGTGGCATCAGCCTCTCTGCTGGGTCACCATGCCAGCTGGGAGCTCCGGGGCTGCTGACTGCACTGGGATGGTGAGTCTGCAGTTCTCTGGAGAATGTGAGGCAGCCTGGTTCCATCATTAGCGCTGCACACGCTGTGAGAACGAGACAGAGCTTGTACTGACTTTGCCAGTAGCAAGAATCGCACCTGAGCATGAATTGCAGCGCCAGCCTGCTCCACAGGAGATAACATTTGAAAAGGCACTTTGCGTTGGGGGCAGGGGGCTATGGCGCCCCAGGGGAACAACCTCCAGTAAGTTGAATGTCCTGCTGTAAAGTCCAAGTGGCCCTGCTGTGTGTTGACTGAATCTCCTTGAGTGACCCTGGGCTTAGGTGCCTGCTGCGGGCTGGCTTTCCCAGGGCTTGGCACAGTCGGAGGTTCTCCTTCCCTCCAGCGGGTCCCATATGGAAGGCAAGGGGGCATCGCTCTCAGTGGAAAACACCAGCCAGTCTGTTAGCTTAGCCGGTCCCAGGCGCTGCGGCAACTGTCTGGACTGGAGCAGAGGCCTAGCAGCCTTCCTCAGCCACGCTGTGCTGAACGGGGTTAGGAGATGAGGAAGCTCCAGGCTGTCGCTTTGGAATGACTCGTGCTCTCTCGTCACCTCCCTTTCCAAGGGCCACGCCGGGGGCCAGCTCCATGGAGACAGGTCTCCTGGAGGGCCTGTGCTGGCAGTGGCTCTGCGGTACAGCCACAGCTGGCCCAGGTTGGCTGATTCGGGCTCGCAGGGCTCAGGCTGTAGGGCTAAAAATGGCAGTGCAGACACTCGGACTGGAGCCTGCGCTCTGGGCCTTCCCGCCTCGCAGGGTCCTAGAGCTCAGGCTCCAGCCCAAGCCTGAACCCCTCCACAGCAGTTTTTCAGCCCTGAAGCCCGGGTCGGCTGACCTGGGCCAGCCGCGGGTTTTTTATCCCTGTGTAGATGTAGCCAGAGAATGCAGGGGAAGTTTTACGTCTCTGCTTCCTGAGCAGCGGCTCCTTCCGCCCCCTCATGTCAGAGGCCTCCCTACCTGCCGGGGGTGGGGGCAGGGCTAGGAGGAGTCAGGTCCCTGGGACTGTTCCAGAGGGAGGGGCGCACACTTGGAGCTGGCTCATGGGGCCCTTCATAGGGGTGCGCAGCACATTTCATTAGGGTGTGCACCCAGGGAGCCCCGCCCTAGCCCCGCCCCCGCCCTGCCCCCATCCACTCCCTCCTACTTCCCGCCCCCTGACTGCCCCCCTCAGAACCTCCAACCCCCCCC